GGGGTAATTCTGGGGGTGGTTTTTGGGGTCCCCTTTGACTCCCCCTTCCCCGCAGGCCGAGGGGGCGGAGCCGGGGGCGGAGCCCGCGCCGGGGGCGGGGCCAGAGCAGGAGGAGGCGGGGCCGGACACGGCGCCCCAGGCCGAGGAGGGCGACAAGGAGGGCGGGGCCAAGGTGGGTGGCCACGCCCCACTAAGCCACACCCCTTTCTGTTGGTCACGCCCCTTTTCTGTTGGCCACGCCCCTTCTAACAAACCACGCCCCTTTCCTGTTGGCCACGCCCCTTCTAACAAACCACGCCCCTTTCCTGTTGGCCACGCCCCTTCTAACAAACCACGCCCCTTTCCTGTTGGCCACGCCTTTTCTGTTGGTCACACCCCTTTTCTGTTGGCCACGCCCCTTTCTGTTGGCCACGCCCCTTTCCTGTTGGCCACGCCCCTGCGCTGGCCCCTCCCACCCTCATTAAACCCCTCCAAGCCCCATCCCTCCCTCCATTCCTGCCAATCATTTGGCCCCGCCTCTTTACCCAAGCCCCGCCCCTTTTCCCAAGCCCCGCCCCTTTACACCAAGCCACACCCCTTTTACTACAAGCCCCACCTTTTTACACTAAACCACACCCCCTTTACCCCAAGCCACGCCCATTTACCCCAAGCCCCGCCCCTTTTCTAAAGCCCCGCCCATTTACACCAAGCCCCACCCCCTTTATCCCAACCCCGCCCCTTTCCACAAGCCCCGCCCGTTTGCCCCCAAGCTCCGCCCCCTTTACATCAAACCCTCCCCTTTCCCCCAAGCCCCGCCCCTTTACCCCAAGCCACACCCCTTTACCCCAAGCTCCGCCCCATTTTTAAAGGCCCGCCCATTTACAGCAAGCCCCGCCCCCTTTACCACAACCCCGCCCCATTCCACAACCCCCTCCCCTTTATCCCAAGCCCCGCCCCTTTACCCCAAGCCCCACCCCTTTATCCGAAGCCACGCCCACTTTCCCAAAAGCTCCGCCCATTTATCCACAAGCCCCGCCCCTTTACCCCAAGCCCCGCCCCTTTACCCCAAGCCCTACCCCCTTTTCTAAAGCCCCGCCCCTTTAACCCAAGCCCCGCCCATTTATCCACATGACCCGCCCCTTTATCCGAAGCCCCGCCCCTTCCCCAAGCCCCGCCCCCTGACGCCCCCGTGCGCCCCCTGCAGGCGCGGCCGCGCCAGCGCAGCCGGGACAGCGAGGAGGGGGACAGCGACAGCGGGGACAGCGAGGGG